TCTGGTGATAACAGGTCAATTTTAATTCTAGCACCTGAAGCGATACAAGGGTCCACTTTATAAACTTCATGGGACTGTTGTACACGTTCAATAAAGTGGCCACTGTGCAATACCACTGAGAGTTGCAAAACCAGGAACACACTTTGAATTGCTTAAACACAATCCACAAAGTTAAAAACAAAATCAGAAGCCATCCACAGTTACACTAATTATCAAGTAGAGGTTTTACACAGAATACTTGATGTAACAAGTCAATATCTAGCAGGGACATTGAACGTGACTTCACAGTCTCGTCCTGGTTTTTCTGTCGGGAAGTTTCCTGATTAGTGGTCACTGGTGGCTGTGACAAGAACCAAGGTTTCCACTTTTTCTTTGTCAGTTAACAGTGAACAGTGAGAATTAAATACTCATCTTTACATATACACAAGGTACGCTGTGAAAGCATATTCGCTTACAAACATATAAAAATACTTGTTAACTAGTTTGATAAGAAAATAACGTATAAAAGTATATAGCAAAAACATTAATCATCTCTGACTCTGGAAAGATCAATTCCATATTTTACATTACATCAAACAGAAACAGTTTTAGTTTGTGTGGATTTTTGTTTTTGTGTTGTTGGTTTTTTGTTTTTTTTGTTTTTTTGTTTTTTTTTTTTTTGGGGTTTTTTTCTTTTTTTTTAAATCCCGTAACCAGGAATACTTGAAAAGGAAGACAAACAGGAGCGGTTCACTCTTACCCTTACCATAGCTGGGGAAAGAAATCAAGTTCAATGAAACACCTAAAAAGCAGAATGAGTCCAAACATTTGGCCACAGAGAATATTGTCATCTTGAAGGAGGCATAATAACAAAGGCTTGATCAGCAGTTTTTAATCCATAAATACAACAGGCATTTTGGTATTCTGGCCACTGGAAAACAAAAGCTGTAGCATCAGAAAAGGTCTGAGATGTCTCACGTTTGTAGATTCCATTCAGTGTATTTAAGGTTAATGAGAGTTGACATCAAAAGTTTTAAAGATAGGCAAAACTTCACATTTAAAAAAAAAAAAAAAAAACCTCCCTATGTTTCTATTTAGAGTAACAGTAGGCAACATGATTCCAGAAGTTAAAAATTACTTCACAACCTATGACTTCAGCTTAGCAAACAGCTTAGGTTCCAAACTTGGTTCATCCCGATTAAAATGTAAGCCCTTAAAGAATGCATCTGTGTGTGTAGTCATGTATTTTAAAGGAATCGGGTCATATCTGTAGCAGCCTTAGTGTTTCCTTTACACCGGTCTGGGGAAGACCGTTACAATTAGCTTCACGGAAAGATTAGCCAGCTTCTTGGTGTAAGGCTAACACGGTGATCATCAGTCTAAGGCTACAAAGGTACCAGCATGATGTAAACGGTAACAGAGATGAGGGCTTCCCTGGCAGTTGTCAGCTAAAACTCAAGGAACTCTTAGGAAATGACACAGTGGCAGCCTTTCTTGTCTTTTTCCTTCCGGGTGGGCTCTGGTGACGGAGGACATTCTTGCTCTTGAAATTTCCTGTAAGACAGAGAAATCTGAATAGTATCACCACTAGTAATCTCCCAACACAAATGCAGGCTATTTCTGGACCTGCTGCATTGAAATACATTTCTCAGTGTTCCACTAGGGGATAAGAACAAATCTTTGGAATGGAAACAAGATGCAAATGCTCAAAGGAGTGGGGTGAAGCTGGGGTGGGGGCACCAAGTGTTTTGCCAAGCACTGGTGAGGTCCTCATACAAGAATAACATGGGTGCCCAAGCTGCTTCCCTGAGTGAATCCTAAATCAAATGCCTGCGTGTATGTTCTCTTCCTAAGCTGAAGTTCCTGGACTCAGAGATATGCTGAAGCAATACACATGTATCACAGTGGGCGATGGAAAAGTACCTTTCCGTGCTAGACAAGTTAGCTGGCTTCCCTGACTCTTTCCTTATTAGATAAGAATAACAAAAACCTTTCTCTTCACAACTGCTATGAGGACTTAAAGACTTTGTGATATTTAAAAACAAGAAATTCTCTACTTCCCTTCCTTATGCTTGGGTGGGCTGCCAGGTGAGAATCTCGGAATCTCGAGAGTCAAAAGGAAAGACAGGTAATTGATTAAGATAGTAATTGCTTTTGAGGAGGAACTGCTCTGTCAGTTAAGCACTAAACTAGAAGTGGGACAAGGAGGGCTGGGAAGCAAAGCCTTCCAGGTCAACCCTGCTAAGCTGCAGTTCAGTAGTGTCCCATCCACAACTAAACTGACACTCACCACAAACTAAACTTGCAGCCTCTCTTTCTTCCCTTTCACAAAAGGAAACCAACCTCCACCTCAGGGGTCAGTTCACCCAGACTCTCAGTGAACAAGGGCTCCCTGCATATACCTGCCAAAGCTATCGAATTTGCAAAGAGATGGAGACAGGGAAGAGAGGATGAAACAGCCACAAGGACTCAAAACAAACTGATCATGAGCAGCTCGTTCTGTGGCACATGCACAGCAGACCTCATCCATCACCCCAGGCAGCTTACAATCCACGAATACTTCCTACGCCAGAAGCCTCCGAGGCCACCTCTAAATGCCTCTCTGTAGGTAGGAGCGTTACACATATATGTCTTACTGGGGGCTAAACACCTGTGAGATGATAGAGTCTCTGCTGCCTGAGTTGCTCTTAGCCTGGCAGGGATTTGGCAGGAGCTAGGAATCTGAGCTTTAGATTCAAGTCCCAGAGCTTTAATAGACGGTGAGAGTAACAGAAACAATTCAGCTCTCTTGGTTGTAGCAAAGATTAGATGTAGTAACATGGGAAGAATATCGCTCCGTGTCTGACAAAGACTTTGATTAGCGGCTGTCATCACTACAGTCAAAGCATTTACTATTTTCAAAATCCTTACATGTACTTTCTACTTCAGCTTAAGATAATTAAGTGAGATTTTTATGGATTGGAAGCGCCTAGAATATGCTATGTATTTAGTTGAAATTTAACCCACAGTGCGCACCAGCCCCCTGAAAAGCAATTACTCCTACTTACAATTCCCTCTTTCTCACGCAGACGCTGCACCACTATCTATTAAAACACACACCTAGCACGTGTTTTGCTTACCTTATAACCCGGACAAGTTCATGGAAAGCTTGATCTACATTCATCCTGATCTTAGCCGATGCTTCCATGTAGGTGACCTTGAGCTGCCTCGCTAGCTGCTGCCCTTCTTCCTGCGTTACCTGAAATGGACACAGCAGTTGTGTTTAAGACACAGTATTAGCAAACCCATTGGGCCTGTCCAAGCCTAGCTACATGCATATGGTGCTACTACATCTCCTGGACTCCAGGCTGACTCATCATAAGTAATGGACAGATACATAGTACCATACAATCTGAAGCTCACCTACACACAACTAAGAAGAATGCACCTGTAATAGAAACACAGTTGACTTGCAATACCGATAGGTTCAACCAATTGCAAATCAAAAACACTTGAGCTGAGCTGGATGTGGTGACACACTGTTACAAATCCCAACACTCTGGCCCTATTCAGGGCCTTCCTTGGCTACACAGCCAGTTCAAGACTACCTAATTCCATCTCCAAAACAAAATAAAACCAATCCCGGGGGCCAAAGGGTAACTGTAGTTAGCATGTGCACCTTGCAAGTGTTTGCACTGCATCTATGCCACATTAGGCATCATAAGCAATAGAGATGTTTTCAGATATACAGGAGAGAATGCATAGGTTATATGCAAATTCTCTACTTCTGTATAAAAGAGACTTCATGCAAAAGATTCTAGTATCTCTGGGGATCCTGGAACCAACCCCTATTGTTACCAAAGGACATCTGCACTAATCCTTGTCAGCTGTAGTGTTTTATTAGAATGTCCTTTATCATCAGGCATTGGTGGCACATGCTTTAAACCAGCACTTGGGAGGCAGAGGCAGACACATCTCAGGCAGTTCAAAGCCAGGCTGGTCTACAAAAGTGAGTTCCAGGACAGACAGGTCTGTTGCAGAAAGAAACACTGTCTTGAAAAGCCATTAATAAATAAATTAATTAATTAATTAATTAAAGCTGATGTCAGATATCATTTTTTTCTATTGAGATGGTGTGATTTTCCCTTTTTTGTTTGTTGGCTTGATGAATTATGATAGCTCATTTGCATTCCTGAAATAAAACTCTGCAGGGCACACTGCCTAATGTTAAATTTGATTTACTAACATTTTGTTAATAATTTTTACATGTACGCTTAGCACACATGTAAACAGTCTGATTTTGGTTCCAATGTAATTCTGGCTTCATATAACAAACTGAAAAGAGTCCTCACTTCTTCAATGTTTAAGAATAGTTTGATAGCCACAAATAACATAAAGTATATTGGAGTAACTCTAACCAAACAAGTGAAAGACCTATATGACAAGAATTTTAAGTCTTTAAAGAAAGAAACTGAAGAAGATATCAGAAAAAGGAAAGATCTCCCATGCTCTTAGATAGGTAGGATCAATATAGTAAAAATGGCAATCATACCAAAAACAATCTACAGATTCAATGCAATCCCCATCAAAATCCCAGCACAATTCTTCACAGACCTCAAAAGAATAATACTCAACTTCATATGGAAAAACAAAAAACCCAGGATAGCCAAAACAATCCTGTATAATAAAGAAACTTCTGGAGGCATCACCATCCCTGACTTCAAACTCTACTATAGAGCTACAGTAATGAAAACAGCTTGGTATTGCCATAAAAACAGGCAGGTGGACAACGGAATTGAATTAAAGACCACATACCTACGAACACCTGATTTTGGACAAAGACACTAAAATTTTAAGATGTAAAAAAGAAAGCATCTTCAACAAATGGTGCTGGTATAATTCAGCCAGGCAGTGGTGGTGAATACCTTTAATCCCAGCACTCAGGAGTCAGAGGCAGGTGGATCTCTTTGAGTTCAAGGCCAACCTGATCTAAAAAGTGAGTTCCAGGGCAGCCAGGGCTGTTGAAAAATAAGTAAATAAGTAAGTGGGTAGGTAGGTAGGTAGGTAGGTAGGTAGGTAGGTAGGTAGGCAGGCAGGCAGGCAGGCAGACAGACAGACAGACAGACAGACAGACAGACAGACAGACAGATGTTTCATGTGATTCACCAGTAACTCCGTCTGGGCTTGACATTTCCTTTGAAGTCAAGTGTGACAAATGTATTTGACAGATGGAGAACTATCCGGCCATCTACTTGTGTCTTGAGTAGCTTTGGTGATTTAACCTTTCTGGGAAGGTGACTATTGTATCTGCTGAATTTATTGACATCAAGTTTCTTTATGCTTTACACATTTGTAAGATGTAAAGTAATGGTATGTCTTTCATTCCATATACTGATTTGTGGTCCCCTCCTCTTTCAATGAGACTCAAATCTAGAGCTTCATAAGCATCAACTAAGTTTGTGTTGGATGGATGGATGGATGGATGGATGGATGGATGGATGGATGGATGGATGGATGGATGGATGGATGGGACAGACGGATGGACGGGACAGACAGACAGACAGATCTTTCTGGATGGAGGCTTGACAGTCTGGTCTACTTTACAAAAGCCAGTTTGTGGTTTTTACTTATTTCTTCTGTAGTTTTTACACATTCCTATTTTCTTTGTACACAAAGGGCCTTGCACATACCAAGCACACATTCTACCACTGAATTACAGTTTCTCTAGTTCAGTTTCCTTTTCACGATCAACCTGTTTTTCTTATCTAATATAACTATTTAGTGACACAAGCAACTCCTATAATAGCCTATGAATCTTGACATGCTGTATTTGTGTTTAAGTTGCATCTCATTCAGAATTCTTTATAATCATTTCAATTTTTTTTCCCTTTAAGTATTAGAAATATGCTAGTTTCTTGGGAATTTGAAGATTTCCTCTATGTTACTAATGTCCATATCAATGCCAGTCACCAAAATGTACGTGTTATCTGACAAGGCTTCCTTCACATTTGAGACTTCTTTTATGACCTGTTTCTACTTCAAATAATGCAAACTCTGCTGTTGGATGGAATGTTTATTAGGGGTCAATTAGAACAAGCTGGCTGATGGTGCCATGCAAGCCATCTATAATCACTCATTTTCTTACTATTTCTCTCCACGTTAAGTGTATCTCTGTCTAATTCTCTCTGCAATTCTTTTAACTCTTTCTTTGGGAATTTTGAAGCTATTATGAGATATATGAATGCCTAGGATCATAGAATCTTCTTGGTGAATTAGTGGCTATCATTATGAAACAACCCTCTTCCCCCCGTCATTAGACTGGTTCTACAATCTATTTAAGTGCTCTCTTTACGGTCACTTTCACCACATCTCACCCTTCTATTCTAAGTGGGTTGTCTTTAAGCTGAAAGTAGATGGCTTGCAGGGCCTGGTTTTTTCATCCAATGGGATGCATGTGACTTCCCACTGAGATCCTGAGACCTCCTCTCTTTTCTCTTTTGTCCTGTGCTTACCTGTTCTGCCCATTCCGGCACTGACTAATTTACTTCGTGTCTATTAGGTTACCTCAGTGGCTGCTGAGTCTACCCTTTAATTCATCACCATATTCGATGTGGTCAAAACCGGTTTACAGGAGGTTCTTCTGTAGCCAGGCTTTCTGCTCAGATCATCTCACGAGGAAGTCAGAAGTTGTCTCGTGTGCTGTGCCTCTGGTTCTGCCTGGGGCAGGCCCTCTCTCACTATCTCTCTCTCTCTCTCTCTCTCTCTCTCTCTCTCTCTCTCTCTCTCTCTCTCTCTCTCATTGCAAATCACTTCAGAAGGGCAGAGACTGCATCTTCCTGAGCAGGAAGGCCATGGTGGTTCTTTATTATCTGTGTAAGTTGTTCCCCAATAAAACACTCGTTTATCATTATTTTAAAAAAAGAAAGAAAAAGGAAAAATAGTCACACACAGCATGAAGCCTGTGCAAGGCTATTCTGCCTTTTTGCTCTTTTCTGGTGTTACCTGCTTTCACCACACGTTATTTTTGCTTCAAATACTCAATTGTGGTTGAAAGAGGTTTAAATAACAACAACATCATTTTTATTTTCCCAGTGTTCCACGTTCATCCATGTCGACTCAGACTCCCATTTGGAGTCATTATCTCTCAGCCTGAGACGTCTTCATATTTCTGATAATTCAGATCTGGTGGTACTGTACTCTCACATTTCATATGTTTGGGAGAAGTCTTTTAACTCAATTTCATTTCTAAAGCAAGTACTTGATGGACATTCATTTACAGACAACAGGTCTCTGCCCTCAGTACATCTTCTGGCTTACATCGTCTCCAGTGAGAAACAATATGAATATGTCGTCTGCATTAGTTACTGCACACACACGGCTGGGACAGAACACCTGACAATAGGAACTTTTTAGACTCATAGCTTCAAGGTACAATCCATTATGGCAGGAAGCTGGGGGGCGGGTGGGGAGGAAGTGCCTCACATGGAGGCTGGTCACACGACCTCACATCAGGAGAAGGGATGAATGTCTGTGTTCAGCTAGTTTTCTCATTTTTTATGCAGTCCAGAACCCCAGCCCATGGAATCACACCACCCACATTCACCCTTCAGTTAACTAAGGTAGCAATACCCAGGGGCTAACCTAATGTTGATAATCCCTCATGGGCATGGCCTGTGGCTAACCTGATCCCGACAATCCCTCGTGAACATTCCCAGACACTTGTCTCCTCTTGCTAAACTGACAGTCAGTACTAACTCTGCACCACCCTTAACTTGGCTGCTCTGGGAGCAGTTTTGTTTTTCTTTAGCTATTTCTCTGATTCTTGTCTTTATTGTGGGTCGTGGAGCACTTTAGTATAACCAGTCTTGTAACTGTTGCTCTGGGTTTGATTGAGCATCTTGGATGTCTGCAATGCAATCTCCACCAAATTCAGCAGTCTTCAGCCATTACACTTGTACTGCCAGTAGCATCTGGTGCATCATCTCTTTAGTTTCAGCTTCTGGAAGCTTGACTTGCATGCACCCCACATTACATCTACCTTGTCAGTGCTTCCTAGAGCCTAGAATTGCTGGGAGAAAACAGGCCCTATTTAGTGCCTGTCTACAGAGTCCATTCTATAACTTCTAGGTTAAATAATTTGTCTCTGCTTAACACAGAGGTATGCTTTCTTTACATACATAGCAGTGTGGGCATACACACAGAAAGAACAAAGCAAGTTGTAGAGGGTGTTGGGACTTGGGACAGCATAAGAAGGCAGAAGACTGATTGCTAAGCGAGTCTTTTTCTTTTGAATGATTTCTGAGTGTATACATGGGATAAACTCAGCAATCTGAGCACAGCATCCATTCATTACGGTAAGGCCCGGCACTGCCTCATATGGCTCGTGCCCTGGTGCAGCCCAACGGTCTCACACAGCACTGGCACACCAACATTTATATGATTTTTTAAATTTACCTGGTCTTTCTTCAAAGTAACATACCTGCCCTAAGGCTATGAAATACATACCAGGTTCTACAAACACATAACAATAAGTTAGGAAAGCTGGTTGAGAAACAGGCTTCATGGGACACTAATTTACAAAGAAAGATTTCTTTTAAGAAAATTGATCATGGTAAATCCCTTCCCACAAAAAAGAAAAAAAAAAAAAAAAAAAAAAACCCTTCATGTAGTCCTAAATTCTCTTTCTGCCTGCAATGTTATCTTTTCCTTTGGGGGTGGGGATGCTCATGTGCATGTAGAGACCAAAGGTCTATGTTGGGTTCCCTTCTCTATTGCTTTTCACCTTAATTTATTGCTCTCTCCCTACACTTAGCACCATCAGACACACACCTGAGCTTTCCAGCACATACGTAACTTCAGTCTGTGCGTACTTCCCAAAAGCTTACTCCAAGCTAACAAGTCACATCTTTAAGGTGACAGAAATATGACTTATCTCCTATGTTGTTTCTTCTACTCCTGTTTTTTCACTTTACAGAGACTCCATTAAATTTCTATTTACATGAATATATTTATAATCCCATGATACATAAACAGACATGTCACAATATGCTGAGTACCTGCAGACAGATGGAAACTATATGATACATACTGGCAATCCTTAGCACATAGATAATTTTTTTTTAAAAAAACTCACACAGGGCCAGCAAAATGGCTAAGCAGGTGAAGGTGCTTTTTATGCAAGCCTTGGAATCTGAGTTCAATCCCCAGAATCCATGTAGGGTAAGAGAGAACCAACTTCCAAAAAGCTGTCTTCTGATCTCCACAGGATACTATGTTGAATGAGCCAACATGCATGGCATCGCATCACACACACACACACACACACACACACACACACACACACACACACACACACACAAATAAATAAAAAAATTAAAAATCCATGTGGCCTGGAGCTGGCTAATAATGGGATCTGCTGCTTCCAGGGGTCTCCCTTCCTGCTATCCCTCAGCTGCTACTACCTGCTCTGGAGACATCTCCACACTCCATGCTTCCCTTCCATTCTTTCACTGGAGAAAAAAATTGTTCCTACAAAGGAGGCGGGAACCAGGGAGGGATGGGCAGAGGTGAGTATGAGACAGGGTCAGAGCCTTTGCCTGCATCTGCTTTGTCACCCCTTCCCCACCCCCAGAGTGGAGTGTGCCCGCCCCACACACCCAGAGTCTCCACAACCGTAGACAATAAATGTAATTTAGTTCATATGCAAGGACACAGAGAAAACAAACATCCAAACTGTACACTTTGCACTGACTTGCTGTAGGGATCACATTTTGTCACTGTAACTTTGTAACAATTCAGATCAGAAAGAGGCCTATCAGAAACACTTAGTCTCCACTAATAACATCACCACATTTTTCTCAGTCTTAGTGAGAGACCAGACATGTCAGACCAGCAGTCTACATGCTACATACCTCCCACAGCAGCCACCCACACAGCTTGGAACATCTGTAGATGGTAACACAGCAACGCCCATAAGCTGAACACCACATTTAGGCTAATCATCCCCTTACATTAATGTTTGAAATTCAGTATGCTTCCAAAATATTTGACAGGAGTTGGAGAGATAGCTCAGTGGTTAACAACACTCACTGCTCTTCCAGGACTGGAGTTCAGCTACCAGTACCCACATCAGGTGTCTTACATTCATCTGTTACTCCAGGTCCTGGCTTCCAAGGTCTGGCTTCCTTGGGCACCTCACTCCTGTACAACATACCCACATGCAGTCAGTCTGTCTGTCTGTCTCTTCCTCTCTCTCTCTCTCACTCACTCCCTCTTTCACTCTCGCTCTCTCTCACTCTCTCTCTGAAAAATAAAAATTTAAAACAGCACCAATCAAAGGTTATGTTTTACACAGTTAGGTACAAAAGGAAATCCGCCCCAGTGTTGTTCCAATACATTTTCCTGATGTCTATACTTTGCCAGCAAAATCTTAAGACTCTATTAACAGGCTGGAGACATGGTTCAGCATGATCCCTGGTAAAGGCAGAAGGAGAGAAATGACTCCAAAGATGCTCTCTGACTTACACACACTGTGGCATACACACACAAGCGTGTGTGTGTGTGTGTGTGTGTATATGTGTGTGTGTGTGCGCGCGTGCGTGCGCACACACCCACATATCCTATATGAACACATAACAACAATAATAATCATAGAAGTAATAAACAATAAAGTAAAAAAAAAATCGGTTAACATGAGGTTACATGAAAACAAGAGGAAAAGCTAGCAAGAGACAATTCCAATGCTAGGTTCTAGTTGTGGGACAGAGACTGAAAGGAATTCACAAGAGGAACTCCACAGCAGAGGTAGCTGACTTGGTTCCAAAGAGACAGGGGTAGACAATACATAACAAAGGGGCGCAAAGACACTAACACTGGAGGGCACTAGCATCAGCGCTGGCCAGTATGAAGCAGTAAGTGAAAATTCACCTACTTAATTAAACTAAAGAAAACTCCAAAGCCAGGTGTCATGGTGCAGTCCCATAATCCCAGAAGGCTAAAGCAAGAGGACTCTCCCTTTGTGATCAATCTGAACTACAAACTCCAGGCTGGCCTAGGCTTCCCACCAAGACTAGCTGGGGGTTGTCTACCTACTGTAATTTATGTCATAGCTGTCCTATAAATAGAGGTGATTGTGGATAAGCAGTGAATAAATTGGGCATGTATGGGTAGCTTTATGGTTCTGTGTGAGCTAAGCATGGCAGCACAGGACTGTGATGCTAGCACTTGGGAGGCTAGGACAAAGAATCACAAGTTCAAAATCAGCCTGGGCCACACAGAAAGACCCTACCTGAAAACAATAAAAAGAGAAGGAGGGAGGATGACATGAGTAAATGAAAATTCTTCATAGGAGTTTGACAAATTGAATAATGGTTATAAAATTATTTTTTTTCTTTTTTCCTTAAAGAAGAAAGGTAATTAAATTTTCTTTAGGGGGAAGGGGTGGGGGGGAGAGGAAGGGGACAAATATCATCTTAACTTATAGTTTTTAGATGTTATTCAAGAAACCACCCGAGCCTGGCACTGATACAGACAATACGCAGGCTAACATAGAGAGTTTTCTGGTATTCTGTGCAAAAATAATGACAATATAATTCCCCCCAAACTTTCCTCACACTTTGTGCCATTCTGGGAAACACAGTGTGCCAGGCTCAGCCCAGAGCTGGTGCCGTGCCGCACAGGCTTTAAGAGCGCGGGTACTCCATTGTTTCATTAAGTAAACTGCTTCATTTACACAGCCTCCTGAGCACAGAGTCCCCGCCTCTCACCTGTCTCTGATGATCCAGGTCGGCTTTATTGCCAATTAAAATCATGGGAAACTCATCACGGTCCTTTACTCGGAGAATCTGTCTTTGAAACTTATAGATTTCTTCAAAACTAAAAAATAGATAAATAAATTATGCTAAGAATCAAAATTCAGTGAGTTTTATGTTCCATTTATTTCTTTATTGCCATTTTTCTACTGTAAAAAAAAAAAAAAAAAGATGGAAATCTTAATTCCATAAAATAGCAATCTGGACAGAGCCTACCACTCCTGATGTAAGCTTTTATTAGCAATTACATGAATTATACATAATAGTAGTATTCTATATGACATTTTCACACATGTGTACAATGTTTTCCGATCATATCTACTCCCACACTTTAACTGGCACCAACCTGCCTCTATCCGTGACTGAAAAGACCAACAGGAAGCCCTCGCCCGTTCTCATGTACTGCTCTCTCATGGCTCCAAACTCCTCTTGTCCAGCTGTATCCAAAACTAAAGAAAAGCAACAAAGAAAACGGTGTGTTTTCCCTTGATAAACTGCCTCCGCTCAAGGGCAGCCCTACCAGGCCCTCCACAGAGCCTCCTATTTGATGTAAGAGGCGATGGCATTCCTGTCTTAACATTTCATTTCTAACACCAAAGGCAGACATAATCTAATGGCAGCCAGTTTCAGAGTTTATCTTCATCGCACAGATTGATTTCTGTGGCTAGAATATATTAGCATACCAATTACAAGGTTAAAAATATCAAACACATCCAAGCAGATGGAACCAAATCAGCTCTAAAAATCACTTGGTTATTTATCTTCTCTGTGTAAAGATCTTGGAAAAGAGGACTCTGAGTTCAATCAAGAAACTGAGGGTAGAGCTGGAGAGATGGCTCAGTGATCAAGAGCACTGGCTGCTCTTCCAGAGGACCCAGGTCCTGTTCCCAGAACCTACATGGCAGCTCATAACTGCTTATAACTCCAGTTCCGGGGAATCTGGCACCCTCTTCTGACCTCCTTGGCATATGATACACATACATCCATGCAGGCAAAACATTCATGCACACAAAACTAAATCCTTAAAAAAAAAAAAAGGAAAATATGGTTGATTCATTCTGTCTCCCCCCTTTCCTCCCCCCCTCCCCCGTCTGTCTGTCTGTATCTCTCTCTCTGTTTCTCTCCCCCTTCCCCACTCCTTAGTCCAGCCACTAATGTATTTCTTGATCATCCTACTAGTTAAAGAAATAGGATTTTCGACGGGCACTGGTGATGCACACCTTTAGTCCCAGCACTCGGGAGGCAGAGGCAGGTGGACCTTGGTGAGTTCGAGGCCAGCTTGGTCTACAGAGCTAGTTCTAGGACAGGCTCCAAAGCAATACAAAGAAACCTTGTCTCAAAAAAAAAAAAAAAAAAAAAAACAGAAAAACAGGATTTTTTTTTTTTCTTCAGTGGGATGGGGTTGTTATATAAATTCCCAGTTAACAACAGACTCTCTCTATGGCCACTTCCACTATTTTAACATTTGCCAAAGGACATGAAGAACTAAGAGATGATGTTTCTTCTAACCACCCCTAATAAACATTTCAACAAGTTACATAACAAGATCAGTTTTACCAGAACAAAAATCAATCCGATTACTGTTTTCCTTTCCATCTGCTGAGGAGTATTTAAATTGATCGGCACGAAGATTCATCTATCAGAACCAATGACAGTAAAAATCTGGCTAGGACTAGCTCTGTGGTAGAACTTGCCTAGCACATGCAAGGGCTGCTGACATCAAATACAACACTTGAAAGCAGGGTACTTTAGAAGTAAGATGTGAGCTCTCAGGGTTTACTTACTGTCCAGCCGGGCCGCTCTGTCATCAATCACACACTGCTTTGTGTACGAGTCTTCAATGGTTGGATCATAGTCCGTCACAAAATAGGACTGGTAAAACAATCAGAAGGAAAAAAATTTAAATTCATGTTACTTTCTACCTAACAGTATCAGTTTTATTAAATTCTGCTTTTCAGGAAACAACACATTTTAATTATATTAGGTTATCTTAAAGATTTTAGTTTTAATTATGTTTACATGTATCAATGTGTATAACCTGTGCATACTGAGTGTAAATGCACACAGAGACCAGAAGATGGCATCAGATCTCCCCGAACTGGAGTTACAGCAGTTCCAAGCCACCCACCCTCTGTGGTACTAGGAGCAGAACTCAACCGGTGCAACACTTCTAACCTGGGAAGGGAGGTTGGGGGAGGGGGGGGTAACATGGAACTCTTAAGTGACACCCTCAGCTTGGTCCCTTATGTTCAGAATGCACCTCAAACAAAACTGTAACAAGACATTAATTAGCCTGTTTACTACTGTGGCTTTTCATTGTTACTTATTTTTGAAAGGAAATGTTTCATGTTTCATTTATACTTTAGGAGCAGCCTTAAATGCGTAATCATTACCTATAATTCTATTTTTTTTTTCCTGACACTTTTGTTTAACTACATGAGAGACATGAGCCAACAGCAGAAGTTTTTAGTAGGAAGCCCCCTCCATCACCACCCCATCCACATTTAAAATCAACAGGTATGAGACATCCTGGGCAGACTTGCTGGCACTGGTCTCTGAGAACAACTATGGCAGCGGCCAGCCTCTCCTCCACTGTGTTCTACACAAAGTGAATCCAGTCCCTCAGGAGAGTAGACAGATAAAGCTGCTTACACTTTCAGAGTTAGGAGAACATTTTATTTAATGGGTTGGGGAGGTGGGGTTCAAGATAGGGTCTCCTGTAGCCCAGGCTGAGCTTGAACTCCTAAGCCTCCCACCTACACATCAAGTACTAGGTTACAGGTGTGCATGTGATAAATTTCTTAAGTTTCTTTACAGCAATTTGATGCTTCCTGCAATGATTTAATCCTGTAAAACCTGAATTTTATTACTCCTTCCCTTTACAATACTAGGAATAAACCTGAGGGCCCTGCAAATGTTTGGCAAGGGACAGTCCCCACTCCTCCCACTAAAAACATGACCAAGGAATGAATGAGTAAGTAATAGCTGGAACTTGTCAAACACAACAGTATTCTGTACTATGAGACTAAATGAAGACGGTGGCATGTGCTGTTGGTTTACAGGACCTTGAAGTACACAACGATTGTTTGACTTTCCTTTTAGTGCCCGCAGAAGTTTGCTTTGAAGGATAATTTTTGGAACATAATCTTAATATTTTAAGATTGCCACTTTCCTAACACTGGTACACATTTGTCCACTTAAATTTTTTTCATTTAGTATGTTAATACTTGTACATGTATGTGGTATATATGCACAGGTGAGAGCATCACCTGTGTCCCTCTATGACCCTCTCCCTACTCCTGGGGCAGTGTCCTTCTGAACCCAGAACTCCCAGGTTTGGGGCTAGAACAGAAGCCAGCAAATCCCTACAGCCTCAGTGCTGGGGTGTACAGGACACACAGTTTGTTACATGGATGCTATCATGCCAGCTCCAGGCCTCAACCTTGAGAAGTAAGCACTCTGAACTGCTGAGCCACCTTTCTGGCCCCACCACTAACACTAATCTCCAGCATAAGCCTGGTGTGGTGGTGCACTGGGCAGGTAGAGGTAGGAGGATCAGAACTTCAAGGTCAACCTCAGCTACAGTTCTAAGCCAGCCTTTGATACAGGAGATCCTGTCTTTAAGAACAATACCACCACCACCTTAAGTTAGAAAGAGAACAAGGCAACGGGTCACCAATAAAAAAGTTTCCATGGGCTGGAGAGTGGGCTCAGGGGTTAAGAGCACTAGCTGCTCCTCCCAAGGACCTGGGTTCAGTTCCAAGCACCACGTGGCTGCTCACACCCATCTATAATTCCAGCTCCGTGTATCCCATGCTCTTTTCTGGCCTCCATGGGTACTGGACACACATGATAAACAGACACAGCTCCAGGCAAGATGCTTATACAAATAAAATAAAAATCTTTATTTTAAAAAAATTAGTTTAATTCTGAAGTAGGGTCTGAGGCAAATCTCTGCAGCCGAAACCTGCAGCACCCATAACAGAGGAACAGCACCAGAGCAGGAGAGGGCAGACCGGAGGAGCAGTGTTGAGGGTATACAGCTGCTGCTATGATGCATTACAGCCATAGCAATAATTGGGCTGCTGTCAGAGGAGGCTCCATGCGGTATCGGTGCTTTTCCTCTAGTCTAAAGTCATGCTCCTTCGTGGTCGAGGGACCGGGAAGGCAGCTGTAACATTTCAGCCCCAGTTACCATCTGAAACTTGGTGTCTGAATATTATAAACCTAGATAAGCTCCCATCTGGGCTTCAGAAAATATTCTCAGGATCTAAATGGCAATTACACAGATAAACACATAGGCATAAATCTATCTTGCTCGATTAACATTTGCATACTTTGTATGTGTAAAGATTACAACCATACAATGCACAAAATGGCAATAATCCCCTATTTCTTCTCAGAGTCAGTGGTTTATATTTGTTTGTTGATGCTTGTTTGTTTGGGGTGTTGTGTTGTGTTTTTTTTCCCCTTGGTGCTGGGGAGCCCTCCTCTTAGTTTTGATTTTGAGATTTGAGACTTTGCTCAGGCAGGTCTTGAACTTATGACCCTCATACTTCAGTCTCCTGAGGAACTAAGACAGGCTTGTATCTCCAGCACACAAAAGCTTTTCAGTTTGGTCTGTGCCTCGTTACCCACTACTGGGAACCCTTCAATCAGTTTTCCTATGCTCTTGGTTCAAAGTTATAATTCGGATGAGCACCCACTTTGTACTCCTCAGTGATGGAGCCCATTGATCCCTTTGAAGAATACTCAATCATTGAGCTGCTGTTGAAAACAAGAGAATTACCAGAGATATGGATGGGGCTATGGCTTGGTGCTTGGTGGTAGGGCACTTGCTGGACATGGTCCATCAATTCCCAACAGCAACAAAATAATAAGATGGATACAGACAGGCTAAGCCAAACAACAGAAACATCATGAAGTGCTAATATTACACTTGCTCAGAGACAACAAAATAAGAAACTATGATGGCAACTAAGCATGAGGGCAATGAATTTATCCACAGAGGCCCAGTAACTGAGCAGGGGGGAAAAAAAAAAACTGTAGCTGCAGATAACGGGGGAGGGAGCTGAGCTATACAGTGAAGCTTCAGGAAATCATGGCAGGCCAAGAGCTTCAGAAGGGGGTCTGCTAGAACTTCCTGACAGCACATTAAAGGATACTGGGAAGAGAGTCCTAGCCAGAAGAAAGGGGACATCCAATGAAAGGCTAGGAGACCTCCCACTGGAGAAGTTATTCCACTTGTGTGGAGAGAGCTGCTGACCCTGGTAAGTTCTGGTCTGGGTAGCACACACCTTTGACCCCACCACTCAAGAGACAAAGGCAGGCTGACCTCTGAGTTTGAGGCCAGGATGGTCAAGTTCTAGAATGGCCAAGGGCTACACAAAGAAACGCTGCTCAAAAAAACAAAAACTGAAAATGAAAATATCTGGTCTAGGTGAGGCTGTCCTTGACAACTCAAAAAACGCTACGCTGGGTTGAGCAGGCGAGCCTCTGTATCCTCCACTCTGGGGGTTCTCCTTGGCCTCCTAAGAGGACTACAAACTCACTGGCTGCAGGCTCAGTGAAAGGAAAATGGGGAAGAGGCGACAAGAATGAGCTTCCCTTCCGCATTCCAAGGGACAATAGCAACAGCCACTTTCTCCTGAGGCAAGCATGGTGGGAAAGTGCAATCCCCAAATACTGCCACAGGGCGGAGTCTGGTCCACACCTGGGACTAGGGATCCAGCACTTGGGTTAATTCCCACCCTCTTGCATAAAGAGGAAAGGAGGCTAGATGGGAGGTATCTCTGATGCGGCAAGCACATGCCTGGGCACCTCTGAGCCCAAGCCACTCTCAGGGTTTTCTGAAGGGCACAATGCCGAAGGAGGGGCATAAAATACTTAAAATACATGGGTGTATGTTACACTGTCAACAGAACTACTGAAGCTATCTGAGAGATTTCACCATAATTAAAAAAAGAAAAAGGTAGACTGTTAAAGCTACAGAGTCAGAGCTGGGAAGATTGGGGGGGGGGGGGTCTGCAGATATTAGAGGGGGCACAAGATCAGCTAATGGAAGTGAATGTGATCAAAGTATATGTAGGAAAACCACATAATCATTACTGTATAATTAGTACATGCTAATAAAAAAATCATTCAAGAGAACTACAGAGTCGAACCAAGAGGCTAAGAGCTCCAGCCCTGACCCTGAGCTTACAAATGACCTCCGAAAACATTTTTTCCCCTCTTTCCTGCTCTCTCCCTCTCTCAATTACACATGTATCTCATGGCTACTTTTTCTAAAATTATATAATGTCCACTTCTTCCCCCAACCCAACCAGAAGTAAGCAGGGTAAAGACAGGAAGAACATTGCCTGAAAGGAAAGAGCTAGACTTCACCAGCAAATCATAGGTAGCTCCAGCACTCCCAGGCAGGTCTCCTGACAGGGCACCTTCCAGCCTGCCTCCTTGGCCTCTCTGGCCCTCCTTCCTGCCCCCATCACACAGCGTCTTCCATCACAGAACAGCAGGCAGTGTGGCTGGACACCTGCCTTGTTTACTACTTAGTAGATTTTCTCATTTAATTCTCACAGCAACCCTTCCTACTGATTTCTCCCTTTTACAAACATGTTTTACATCAGAGAATTACACTACTTCTTCAAGGCTACCCAACTAACAAGCAGAAGGACTGCAATTTAAATTAGGACCTGATGCTGTCTATAATATCCTAAGAAATGTTATTTAATAAAAAATTCATTGAATATCAAATTTTCTATTGGCCTATGAAATAAGGAAAAATGTACCAAAAGAGAGGCCAAGATTAACAAATCCATACCCCTGTCTTCTTGGGCTCCTTCCCAGCTATCCTAGGAGGGGATCTTGAAACA